AGCATAAATGAGCCATTTCAAACTGTTAATTACAGCTACAATTAGAAGAAGAAGCGGGTATTTATTTATTTCACTTCTCTGGTCACAGTGGGTTGATCTGCCTGTTTGATTGTATGTTTTAGGATCCGATTACACCTGATATCATATATACCAACACTGAGGGCGCGAGTACCCACCGCAATATTCTCCTGAGTGATCGGTGACGTCACTCAAGCAACGACACCAGCGCTATTTAAATTTTCTCACGTTTTGTCGTTGATGCAGAAATGTCAAAGCGGAGGATTTACTCTGTTTACCGCGTAGCAAACGATCAGAGCTGAGATGAGTGCAAGCTGTAGCGATATCCCACAGCTGTCAGCAGTTTTCCATTTTTGTGCGAGTGTGTGTGTGTGTGTGAGCTTACACGGCTCATCCGGAGGTCAGACATCAAACAGTGAGGGGTGTGTGTGCGAAGGCCACGTCTCCTGGCCTTGTAAAAGGAGGCTAAAGTGGCTGATTGTTAATGCTTTAACCCAAAGCCCCACACTACAATTGTGTGTAATCTACCTTTTGTGATGCACAAGGTGCAAACTAATTACTGTCTGATCATCTTAATTGAGCTGTTTCACCGCGCATGTGTGTATTAATGTGGCCCCGCCCCTCTGCTCTTCGTGTGCGTGTGTTTGAGTGTGTTCACAGGGGGTCCTATGACAGTGCTGCTCTGCTGAAGACGCTGTGGCAGATGTACGGGGCAGATGCCTGTCTGCTCTGCTGCATCTGTAGCCTCACCCCTCCTCTCTCACTCACACACACACACACACACACACACACACACACACACACACACACACACACACACACACCATATAGCCTGCTGTTAAAGATATGCCTCTTTTTATAAATCTGTCTGGCACATTTTTGTCTCACCTCTCAAGCGCGTCGTCTTTTGTTTCGTATGTTCCGATTTTTCTTTTGCCCGATCTCCTCCTCACGTTTTATTTCTGACCCCCCTCCTTCTTTTCACTCGCTGTCACCGACTGCCTTTTAGCACATTTCTTGGACCTAAATAAAGCCCGTCAGAAATTAAACCTGCAGCTCAGATGCTGTTACTTTTCTGTGTGAGAGTGTGATGTAGACTCTTATCTGTAGTTATTGGTTTTATTACATGCGGGCGTACTCAGTTTAAATGAAGTGACCCTCGTTTCCTCGTTTTATTTATTTATTTATTTTTACCCCCATTTTTTTTTTTTTTTTTTATCCCTCAAATACAAATGAACACAGTGTAATGTTTTGAAATTTGGTCTTACCTTACTCGTATTTTGATTTGCACTGGAATTTCGTGCATCTGCTGCGTGCTAGTCTTGCACAGGAAGTAGAGCTGATTCTGGTCACAGTCTCTCTCACTTCTCCTTCCGTCTCCAGCGCTCAGAGTCTGTGTGGCGTGCGTGCGCTCATGTTTCACTCTGTATAAGCTACAAATGATTACTCAAGACGGCCCTGTCGTGCTAGGGTGAATGTGTTAGATCAAAGCCAAAGTCTTTATCGATATCGATGCGAGACGTACGAGTAAGAGTCATTTAAGAGACGGGAATCTCGTTACTCTCCTGCTGCCACCTGCATTTTGTAGCACGAAAAAGATTTTGGAAGCATGTCCCGTTTCCATTGTCTTTATTATTAATACACACATGGGCATAGCTGTTTGTGTATAAAAGAAAAAAATATATTTCTGGCACCTCTGTTTGGAACAAAATGTATGTTAGGCAGTAAATATCATATTGAATTGTCTGTTTTATGCTTCAGTAAGAAGAAAAAAATATATATTCTATTACACCCGTATTCCTTCAGGGGGGGAAGTCCAAACGTTTTGGGTGGGGTGACAGGAAAAACCCTGTTGACACATTACTGAAGACTGAATAATAATGCACAGCGTAACAGTGCAATATAGAGAACAAATGCACAAATACTGCTTTAATCCATTTTTAGGGTTTTCCCCCTCTGATACACAGCTCCTGCGTAAAGTCCTGATGTTTCTGGTTCACTGCGTCGTGATAGTCATCTGTCATCTTTTTTGATGTCTTTTGCATCCTTTTATACTCGTCTCCCCCGAAATCCTTCGAGACATGTTTGGTATCTTTATAAAGCTCTTGTTCCCCGCTAGATTTTCATATAAAATTCTGCGGGTTTGAACAAAGCTTGGCTACACAGCACAAGTTTGGATCGATGGACCCAGTGTTGGGGACTTTTGTGTTGTTGTTTTCTTTTTTCCATCTGATCATAGGATATTCAGTTTCACATGATTGCTGCCACATGTGGTGCATCTTTGTTATCTATTCAGTGGTTGTTTGGAGGCGCTCTGAAGTGAAAATCGGCATACATAAAGAGCCGCTGTGAGTCAAAGCGCGATCGTGCCAAAGCATTTGTGTCTTGATGGGGAATGGTCTCTCCCCAACTCAGCCACAGTGGTCTGGAAGGGTTTGGTGAGCGCTGAAACGGTGTCAACCACAAGCCGAGGCTGTCGCACGACACTTAACAAACACCAGCATTACATTTTGTGGTCGTGCAGTAACTACGTGCCATTGTATTTAAATATTTGATCAAACTGCTTCCCTTTTTTATGAGCGTGACCCTGACTCTGAGGCTGGCTGATGTAACGTTTCTTTTTTTTAATTTGGTGGTTTATTTCCTTTTGTCAGGAGGACAAGAACTGATTTCAAAATGTTGACAACATGAACTTCAAAATGAGTGACGGAGCCCAAAGATCTCATTAAGTATGGCACCGAATGCATGGTCTGAGTGGACCGTTATAGTCGTGCTGCTCTTATCAAACATATAAGGAGGTCAGCACATGCATAGATGATCTTTGTAAGCCCAAAGACAAGGATTTGTGTTTTGTTTTCTCTACTCATGACTCTGTATGAGATCAGAGAGAGATGATGTCACTTACATGGTCCTATACATATTGTTTTCTGTTTGCAAGGTGCAGCCAATCAGAAGAAAGCTGGTTTAGCAGGAGGGGGATGGCAGATAAAACTGCCTAGGTGTGCACCCAGACCATTATTAAAGATAAACATAGATTATTTTAAGTGTGACTTATACAAAGCTTCTCCATTAGTGAGTCCAAGATTTTAAAAAACAGTTGAAAATGGGGGTAAAGCATCATTTAAAGATGTTCTCTGATTTATTTAGGTGCTTGAAGCTAACACTGTTGGATGTTTTAAAGGTTAAATAAAACTGATAGGTTTAGTTTAATGTCAGATGCCATTAAAGAGGCTGTGTTCCTGTGTTAGAAGTTTCTCATGTGTACTTTGCTCGAGGTGTCTGCCATATTGGACACAATGCGTCTTCTGGTCACCGATTGGTGGGGGAGTGGCTCCTGGAGGCTGCTGGCTGTCACTGGGTGAAATGACAAACGGGGTGAATGCACCAAAAAACTATACATTTCACACCTGAGCCTCAACTCTCGCGGCCCGGTACCAAACGACTCACGGACCGGTACCAGTCCGAGGCCCGGGAGTTGGGGACCGTTGTTTTAGAAGCTTCCTCTAAGTCAGGGGTCCAGTGTCCCTGCAGGTTGTAGATCTCACCCTGGGTCAACACACCTGAATCATGTGATTAGTTCATTACCAGGCCTCTGGAGAACTTCAAGACATGTCGAGAAGGTAATTTATCCATTCAAATCAGCTGTGATGGATCAAGGACACATCTAAAACCTGCAGGACACCGGCCCTCGTGGACCGGGATTGGGGACCCCTGCTCTAAGTGGTAACTGCCCTAATCTTGTATAAATGGGATGAAATAAATGTGATTAAGTGTGTGTGTGTGTGTGTGTGTGTCATCCTTCCTGTGGGAGCAGTAGGTCACAGGCAGTATCAGAGGTGTGACATGTGCCCTGCAGGGTCTGACATCAGCAGGCCTGGACTGTGTTTTCTCTCCATAATCAATCAGAGCTTTGAGCACAGGAGTCCGCCTCCACTCCACCCGGCGGGATTAGTGTGTGTGTGTGTGACACCAGCGATTCACTTCCCAGAGAAGGGTTACGTCCTTTAATAACGTAATCACATTCTAAATGCATCCGTGCGGAGAAGTCCAACGTTTTAATGAAACCACTGTTTTCCACCGAGTCGAACTGGAGTCGTACGCACTCCCCCGTCCACCCCGGCTTGATATCATTTTCTCCATGTGGTGTTTAAGTGATGTCAGGCTGTGTGGAATTCCAGGATCGTACCTCTATTAGTCTCATTTATAGCTGCTGGCGATCAGTAATTGAGAAAAAACTGATTTTTAGTGTTGCAGCGAGACTGAAATAATCAGAAAAATAATTGCCTCATCATGCTTTCTCCTCTTCTTCTGTATCGCCCACTCTCCCGAATGCCCCTGTGTCCCACACACACACTGAGGAGGCCCCTTGCTTTTCATAACAAAGGGCACGTCTAAGCCGAGTGTGCGGCCTAGTATAACGTGCTAGAGTGAAAAGCCGTGTGTGCGTGTTTGAGTGGGAAGCCCTGTGAGGATCCCCTGGCGTGTCAGGTGTCACTGACATCTGTGCATGTGTAGCGATCGGGTCAAAGTGTGTTGCTCTCCATGCGCATGACGTGCTTTAATTGTGCGTCTAAGCCCGATCTTTCACCTCCGCGCCTCTCAGTCGAGCAAGCTTTCGGCTCGCGCCTGTGAAGGGTGGGTGGGGGTGTAGCGGGAGGTGAGAAGTTTTGGCAAAGTTGACAGAAGTAATCAGAGCACGGCCCTTGCAAAATTTTTGACACGACATGAGGAATCTTTGGTGATGAGCTCAGCTCTGTTTTTGTTTTTTTGGCTCTGGTGTTTTCTTGCTCCCCCCTTGAACCTCGGATGGACCCAGGGAGGGCTCAGCTTCTCCGCAAGCATATTGTGGAGGCTCTGGCTTTTCAGAGGTCGCTGCAAGTGTACTGCATGTGCATGTATACACAAGGAGGGTGGCCTCCTCTTAAGTCTTCTGTGAAGTTGCACTCACGTCACTTCCTCTTTCAGATTAGAAAATAGCTGGTTTAATTTATCTCTCTTCTTTTTTCTCTTCCTGCAGAGAAGCGATGAGGAATTACCTGAAGGAGCGAGGAGACCAAACTGTCATGATCCTACACGCAAAAGTTGCACAGAAATCCTATGGCAATGAGAAAAGGTGAGTTTAATATAAAATGGGAGCTTTTTTTCAGGTTTTGGGAATCCTTAAAAGATTTTGGTCTTGAATCTAAAGCAAATCTATTAATGCCGGTCAGTGTTTCACCCTCACAGTAACACATCACACAATTTATTCTTTAGCGGCCCCTGCTACATTTTATCCTGGAGTCTGCAGTTGTTTAGATGCGTAGGACTTTGTGGGGGAGGATTTTTGTTTTATTTGAATATTTTAGTTGTCTGCCTCCTTGAGAACGTCTCACTAAATAACTGACGATCGCTGGATAGCCCTTCACGTGACCAGAAATGCTCATCATTGTCATCACTGCCATTGTATGGATTTCACCATGCAGTGTATTTGTGATCATCCAGTCTCTCATTGGTTTCTGTTTTTAAGTTGTCAGCTTGGTTGTTTGGTTTGGTTTCAAAGAAGAAAATGACGACTGTAAATCGCTCTGATCAGCCCTTTTTAAAGCTCATCAGTCTGCTGAATGTTTAACCCCTTCTTACAAACTTAAAATCATAAACCACACCCTGAGATTGTGTGACTCACCACGCAAACAAATTTCCAACTTCACTGTCTGCAGACGTGTCTCAAAAAGATGTGAGAAAAATACACTGGGCACAGCCACACACGCCTGTGGGTGAGATCTGGGTGGTCGCAGTGTTGGTCAAGTTACATGAAAATAGTAATTAATGGATGACTTATCAAAGAAAGTAATTCAGTTACTTTACTGATTACTTATTTTCAAAGTAATTAGTTACTTTATTACTTTAATAAAAAACAGGACACACAACCTGAATACGTTATAAAGCAATAGACCTTTCAGCCTGCTGCATGGTCGTACTCTCTCCCGCACTCCATGTTATCCATTGTTGATCTGCACACTTTGATGTCGCACACTCGTACGTCATTGTCGTGAGACACTCTCACAAACAAAATCAGGGTTTAGTAATGCAATTTGCTTATGGGAAAGTAACAGTAATCTTATTACCTTTTTTTGCAAAGTAATCCTTTACGCGATACTTGGAAAAAGTAATCGGATTACAGTTACTTTTAATACGTTACTGCCCATCTCCGGTAGCCAGCCGGCTAAATTTACTTAGTGATGCTGGCGGCTTCTCATCTTCAGCCCGTGGCGATAATGCTGCTTAGATTGCGATCGGTCGACAGTTCTTGTAAACGCAGTGCATTTTTCCTCAGAAGTTTGATTATTTATAAACGTGCTGCAAGCACTTATTTATCTGTTTGCATCACAATAATTCAAACAACGGACACAGTTTAACATCTAGTTTAAAAAAAGCAACAAAAAAAAGTTTTTAAATTTTAGTTTGTTTGTTTGTTTTTTTTAAGGAAATTTGGATATTTTTGTTTGTTTGTTTATTTTAGCCTTTAGCCGTCCCCACTGGTTGCAGACACCTGTGGCCCGGAGGCATTTATACTATCCTCTAATCTATATTCAACTATTGTGGCAAACACAGGTAGTGTACATTAGTCAAGAGGGGTCGGGCGAAAGAGGGGACGAACAAAAGCACATTCCTCAGCACGGTGCCTCTGTGCTGAGTGGCTGTGTTGACCCCTCTGACCTCCGATATCTGTGGAGGTCATAAAAGGAAGCGAGAGGCGACCTTTTCCACGAGGCCACGTTAAAAACCACAGAGAGCCGGAAGAAGAAGGAGCTGCGATGGAGAGCTACGAGAATAAAAGAGGAAGAGGAGGAGGGGGCGTCTCGCAGCACCGTGAAGCCTTTCGGTGTGGGCTTTCACGGGCGAGCGCACATGTGACAACCTAATGTTGTCATTTTCATGCCGTACCTGATGCTGCTGGTTAAACGCAGGGTGATAGCTCGCCATCGTAACACATACTTTTTTTTCCTTTTTTAGATCTGTTCCTCTTAGCTCATCTTCCTCTGGCCCTTCCTGTAACTATGCACTCACCTTTTTATCTCTCACTTAGAAGCATATTTTATAGCGCTCCTCCACACCTCATGCTCATTTTGCAACTCTCCTGAGCCCCCCTATCCTCCTCCCCACCACTCGGTTTCTTGGCCAAGGTGCAGCGCTGCTTGCGATCTCATCGGGGCCTATCTCTTGGTAAATCGGCTGTTGCGCGCCAACTCCCAGACACCTCTGAGAGTTGGAGCGCAACAGAAGACAGCGAGGGAGAGAGATAGGAAAAGAGGTTGAGACAAATTCTTCTGAGGACTTTTTTAGCCATCTCATCCAGTTAAAGTGACAGTGAAGAGAAACATTCAAACACATCTGTCACACATATTTAATGCTGCTCTTTTGTGCATTGAGGTTGAACTTTTTCAGGTGATAAGCAACTCCCAAAGGCCGTGCTCGGATGTAGCTGCAGGTATTTGTTTAAACATCCTCCTGGCCTGCAAAAGGCAGCGTTCATGTTTTGCGTCAGACTGCTTAATTCCTCCTTTTTTGTGCCTTAACAAGAGAGAGCACCCCAGAAAAAAAAAAACCCAAAAGTGGACACACTGAGAATGTTAATGTGCCGTCTCCCTCTTTCTAAGCTGCCTTTCTCGCTGTCTGAGCTTTTTATAGGAGGTGAAAGTAGACAAACACCCACAGAGACAGACACTGGTGTTGCGAAATAGGTCGCTTTCCAGTTCCACACTGACGCACATGAATTTATTTGAAGTGTGTGCTCGTTCTGTAATGAGTGGATTTCTCTTTTAACAAAGCTGAACTTGCGAGTTGTTTCAAGGGAGTTCTTGTTTTCACAGTAGTAACGTGCATTTGAAAGGAGAAGAGAAGTAAAATGAGGGACCTTTTTTAAAAATGGGGGAAGGAAAGTTAGATTTCATTCAAAATGCTGCTTCTCGTTTCTTGACAGATCATTTAGGTTCTGGACCGATCACGGGACATCTGCAGAATGAAGCGTGACAGCCTTTAGATAGATGTTTTACTGTAGCTGTACACAACAGCTTGTTGACCCAAGTTGGACTCTAGCTGGAGCTTGGTGCAAGAGTGCCCTCTTCTGGTTCAAATTAGGAAGTGCACATTCAGGTCTTTTCTGTTCTTTCTCTTATTCCTCCTCTTCTCTCTTTTATTTCCCCACATTTACACCTATCATCTGCTTGTTAAACCACTTAACATTGACCTATGACTCTTTCCAGCCTAAAAACGCCCCTAAATCAAGGAACAAACCAGAGTTTCTGACAACGTGGCAAAGAACTCATTTTAACATTATCCTCAAACACTTCGTTATTAGCAGACTGCCACAAAACGCATCGTTTTTCCATTCCTTTAGTTAGATCTACAAAAAGTTCCAAATATAATTAAATATAATTTTTACACCAACCAGGTGATTCCCAGAGTTGGCTAAAAACTTTGGTATATTATCTGCGTTGTGTGCAGTGTGTCCTTAAAATTGAGGAAACTGGACAAGTTCAGGACAAAAGAAGCAACAGATCTAAAAACCACCCACAGCAGATGAACAGATCCTGAAAGTCATGAGATTCAGAAATGGGGTTAAAAATCCAGCATTGGCAGAAACAAGACCTGAGAGGCACATGTGGCTCTTCATTAAAGCCTCATCAGAAATGGACTCAGTGGAAGTGTCAAGAAACTGTTCATAAGGAAGGGAAACGGGATGAAAGGCTGAGGTGTGCCAGAATACCCAAGAACTCGACTAAAACTCGGTGACAGCACATCTGATTGGATCTTTTTTTTGGTTCCAGTCATCGTGTATATTGTGCAGAGGCCAGGAAAGATGTACAACCGTGAGTGTTTACAGCTGTAAGACACAGTGGAGGCTGTGTCATTGTCTGGGCTGCATTTCAGTCAGTGGTGTTGGAGATCTTGTTAAGATTAGAATTATGAACCAAGAAAAGTACCGTCAGATTTTGATCCGCCGTGTAAAATCATCTGGAAAGCATCTGATTGGCAGCAGCTTCATTTTTCAGTGTGATCCCAAACACACTGCCAGTGCAGTAAAAGCATACATGGATAGAAAAATGCAAAGTGAAGCACCTTCTGACATGGATTTGCTTCCCCTGAGCTCAACCTCAACATTATTGAAGCAGTGTGGGATCATCTTCACAGAGACGAGAGTAAAAGGCAGAAACATTTAAAGAAGAGCTTTGGTGCTTCAGGTTTTTTGGCATCTCTCAACAAATCTGTCTCAAAAAATCACCACAAAAAACAAATTTACTTTGTTTCATCACCTCTAAAGATTTAAATGCTGGCGTTTATAGCTGCACGTGTGTCGTGTGTTCCAGGTTCTTCTGCCCTCCTCCCTGTGTGTACCTGATGGGCAGCGGCTGGAAGAAAAAGAAGGACCAGATGGAGCGAGACGGCTGCTCCGACCAGGAGTCGCAGCCTTGTGCCTTCATCGGCATCGGCAACAGCGACCAAGAAATGCAACAGCTCAACTTAGAGGGAAAGGTACAACACGCTCCCACCCACACACATACTGTCACTCTGTCACTTACCTTGGCACAGGAACATGAAGTTACTCAGCAGAAGCTGCCATAGCCGCGCGGTGTAGCCTCCAGGTACCCTGCAGTACAGAAACAGGAAGTCTGTCACATGCCTCCAGCACATTTAGAGCTTGTTTTTCTGCTGTAGTGCTGATTAATATGCTTAATATGCATTAACAGAAATGAATCTGATTGTTTGTTATTTATTTCTTTTTCTGCCTCCTCATTCAGAATTATTGCACAGCCAAAACCTTGTACATATCCGACTCTGACAAGAGAAAGCACTTCATGTTGTCTGTCAAGATGTTCTACGGCAACAGCGCGGACATCGGCGTCTTCCTCAGCAAGAGGATCAAAGTCATCTCCAAGCCCTCCAAAAAGAAGCAATCCCTCAAAAATGCTGACTGTGAGTCATTTGTGATAAGTTTACAGAGGTTCGCTGTGAGTGTTTACCTTTTAGAGTCACTCTTCATGTCAAATCAGTGTGTCGCTCAGTCTGCCAGAGCTGTAAATTTAAACCCTGACAACAGCCTTAAACATATTAACATGATTTACTGCATAGCCAGCTAGAGTGTTTCACGGGTCTCTCTTCTGGTTGGCACGCTCGAGCCGCAAAATCATTCAAGATATTCGGTACAGCGGTACAGACCACGGCCCGGACGCGCCGGCCTCGTACCCTGACATCTGTTTGTAAACTGTCTCTCTCTGTGAGGCTCTTGGCACTTTTGCAGTTTATTTTATGGTTTGTTTTCAGGCCTGTCAGTGTTGTAAGTTACTGCCGATGTAAACTGAAAACGTCCCGCTGTTGCTGCTCCACACTCAGGGCAGGATGCTTTTATTGTGAAGACTTGATTGGATTTACCACAGAGTCAGCAGAGCTTCATTAGCAGCTCAGGGAAAAGTACTTTGACTCTCACTGCAGCTGGAAAACATTGGATCGGTTGTATCTCTTCTAAGATTCACTTACCCTGTAAAAGTATGGATCAGCTGGAGTGAAGATGCCTTTACTAACACGTGTGTGTAGATTGGGGGGGGGGGTTAGACAAAGTAAGAGCGTAAATGAGACCAAAATCTAACCAGAGTCCAAGCAGAAAGACTGCTTTGATACAAAAGACTAGAAGGTTAAAACCTTGGATGAACGTTAAACAGGAGAAGGAGGCACGTAGAAGACATGAAGTATTGTTTTTATAGTATTTAAGCTCCAATGGGCGTCTCCCCAATTCCTCCACCAAAACATTTAACAGTAAATAAGGTTTGATTTCTTTTCTTCTTTAGGGAGCCAATAAGAAGGCACATGTGGGGGTTTTCTTACAGCCATTGTGAGGATATTGAGAAAAAGCTTAAAACCTTGATCAAAGCTTAAATTGAGCTGCTAATTTACATTATTTCCAACTTGCACTGAATATTCTGAAATGTAAATAATATTTGAATTTGTGACTTCTAACTTCATTTTTCTACTTGTTTTATTCTTGCATATTTTATAGCCTTAGTTTGTTCATTACTTTTTAAAATATGCTCAGAATTTTATGATTTAATGTAATTTTTTTTAAAAAACAAAGTGTTTTGAGCTAATCGGTTAGTCAATCAATACTATTTCTAACCACCAGAGGGCAGTGTAGTGAAAATGGAGTGTCCAGTAACCCAGTTATGTCACATGTGGCACACCTGTGCTACACACAGGACACGTCCTGCCAGCTCGCAGACGTCTTATCTCTCTGTTATCACGCCGACCTGAAAGCAACTTGTTTTTGGTGCATTATGTAACCGGCCGTGTCTCCACGCTTTCGTCTCCGCCCACAGTGTGCATTGCATCGGGGACCAAGGTGGCACTGTTCAACCGACTGCGCTCCCAAACAGTCAGCACGCGGTATCTACACGTGGAGGGTGGCAACTTTCACGCCAGCTCCCAACAGTGGGGCGCTTTCTACATCCACCTGTGTGAGTCTCCATCAGGTTTCATATCTGTTACACAAGCTTCTGATCATGACGAGAACAGCGATGCAGTTTGACAGCCTGTCACCTTGTCTACATGTCACCCTCTCACTGTTCATTGTAGTCGTAGCTTTGTTCTATGTTGTAGTAATTACACATGTGATTCATCGCAGACAAAGAACGTGACGGGCTGATTGATAGATTGAATGTTGGCTTTAGTGTATAAACCAAAGTGTGTGCGTGTGGGCAGCTGGTTGCAGCATTGACTGCATGTTCCTGTGCTTGGTGTTTGCAGTGGACGATGAGGAGTCAGAAGGAGAGGAGTTCACTGTGAGAGACGGTTATATCCACTACGGCCAGACGGTCAAGCTGGTCTGCTCCGTCACCGGCATGGCCCTGCCCAGACTGGTAACAATCACACTGTTTCACAAAAATGACACAATATGAAACTGTAATGCAAGGATGGACGAATCCAGCCTTTCCTGGTTAACATACTTAAGGTATTGAATCAGATGAAAGTGAACTGGACCAACCAACTAGTCTACAACTAAGAGAAACACGTTGATATTGAATAAATGTGAGAGCTGTTTAATAGACCATATCAAAAACTGTCCAAACAACGGTATTTGAAACCATTAATCACACGATGAGTCATGTAACACTGCGGCACGTCGCATCGTGCATATTGAAGATGGCACGTTATGCTCCAAACAGACATGAAGAAGAAGAAGAAACACACTTAGGATAAACTGGCTACTACAAAAGATGTTCGCTTATTATTAAAATATGACAAATTAAGGGTCACCTCTGTGTTTTAATCTGGACCTCGAGACAGGAGCATTTGTTCAGCAGATTTCCCTGATCTAGAGGGACCTTAAAAACTACTAATGAAATCTTAAAATTGGTTTGCAAACTAACTGACAGCCAATACGTGGTATCACTAGCACGTCCCAACTAATGACCGTGCTGCAGCGTTTTGGACCAGCTGCTGTTGGCTAAAGCGGTGACAGACTGACGTCCAAATACAGAGCGTTACTTTGATCGAATCGAGATGAAATCGAGGCATGGATAGCTCAGTCTCAAAGTCTCTGAACCAGAGGAAAGGCTTCCCCTTTGCAAGTGACTGGAGATGAAAGAAGCTCGTTCCAACAACATCATTAATTTGTTTATCAAAAGTTAGATTGATGTCAAGAGTTTTATAACTCCTTAAAAGGGCCGTGGTCATAGAGGTTAGCAGCACCAAACGCAGTGACCTCTCTTTTCTGTTTAAGTTAATATCATTTAAACCTACCTTTGTGACGTATCCACGGTAAAACTCTGCAAATGCTGACCGTGAAATAGCAGAAAGCCTTTTTAATACTGAGTTTTTCTGAAAGGAGCAGCCTGATGTTTGTACCGTATTACTCATGTTTTGACTGAACTTCTCGTGACATTGTTTTCTTTTCTGTCTTTTCTGCTTGTGTGTCCTGTCCCCCTCCTCCTTTATCTCCCTGCTCATGCAGTCCTGCATTTCATTCCCCCTTGCTTCCAGATCACTGTCATTTTTTCCTTAATTCAGTTTCTTTCTGGTTTTATGCACTTAATTTTCTCCAACGCTCACCCTGCCCTATTCCTTTTTCCCATCGTGCAGTCGGCTAATCTGTTCCCCTCTCATGTCCTTTCAGATCATCCGGAAGGTGGACAAGCAGACGGCGCTGCTGGACGCCGATGACCCCGTCTCCCAGCTCCACAAGTGTGCCTTCTACCTGAAGGACACAGAGCGCATGTACCTGTGCCTTTCCCAAGAAAGGATCATCCAGTTTCAAGTCAGTGTCACTCTTATATCTCTACGCATCATTTCAGGGTCGCGGTCGTGTCACCCTCAGATTAAGTCAATCATACTGTTCACAGATGACTGAGGATGATTGCTGTAGCGTTCTGAAAAAGGCTCCAGGCAGCCTGACTTGACATTGAATTTGAGTTCAGTTCTTCTTCTATGCCTGGCTTATTTTCCTGTGGGTAGATGTTTTGGTCAAGTTTTCTTGGGTCTCCCCCCCCCAGGCCACTCCATGCCCAAAGGAACCAAACAAGGAGATGATCAACGACGGCGCCTCCTGGACAATCATCAGCACAGACAAGGCCGAATACACCTTCTACGAGGGCATGGGCCCCGTCCACTCGCCTGTCACCCCGGTGCCTGTGGTGGAGAGCTTACAGGTATACAAAAGAGACCATTTAGATTTTTTTTTAAATTCCCCCCTTTAACAGGACATTTCACCTGCACTACATCCCAGGTTTGTTTATCTTGTTTGTCTGCAGCTAAACGGCGGCGGGGATGTCGCCATGCTGGAGCTGACGGGACAGAACTTCACTCCAAATCTGCGGGTCTGGTTCGGAGAAGTTGAGGCTGAGACCATGTACAGGTGGGGCTTTGTTGGGATTCACTGGGATGTGCTTTGTGTCTTCCTCAGCTTTCTGCTGCTTTTTGAACATGTTCTAGGTTACCAGGTTAAGTGAAGGGGGGAAAGAAACCACTGTGGCTAGATTTTTTTCTTTTTTATCCCAAGATTGTTGTTCATTATGAATAATCTAATACTGTAGTTACTGATAGTTTAGGTTTGCTAATTTCCACCTTTATTTATGGACTTCACTAGAGTTGCTTTGCATGATTCAAAGTTTGAAATAATCCTCACCTGTTCTTTTCCTGACCTTGGTGCAGCCGCTCATTATAAAACAAGCCACTGTCCTTCCCTTTAAGCCAATTTTGATTGGCTGCCCCCTGTAAACCACAGCAGGTGGGCGGGACTTTTGTGCTCATAGACGGAGTTGTGGCTCAGGTGGTGGAGCAGGTCACGTACTAATCATTGGTGGTTCAATCCCCGTCTGCTCCTGTATGCTTCAAGGAGCCTTCCGCAAGATGCTATCTCCAAGTTCTTCTCAGAAGAAAGCACTTACATAGAAAGTGTGTGAGGGTGAATGAGGCAAGTGTAAAGCCATTTGAGTGCTCGGAATAGAAATGAACCAGTCCTTTTACCATTTACCTTTTAACTGTGTACCTGAGATGGACACATTAGGAGTATCCCATTTCACTGATGTCATACAGAGCCCCTATAGTGGGAAAAAAACAGCTGAGGTTTTAGAGCAGTCTGATCATCAGAGAGAAAGAGCCATCCATCTCTTTTCCTCTGCTTATTTAACTCAGAGCTGTGGGAACAAGGAATTTCTTGTAAATACACTGTCTTCATGTTTTGAGAGTAAGGCTCATATTATTAAACATGGCCAATGTTTAATATATGAGCATATATGACGGATTCAATTAAAGAACAAAGTGTTTACTCTCTTGCTCTTAATACTTATTAGTGGCAACTTCAGATTAGTTAATATAATTTGCCCATTTTGTGTTAGCTGTATGTATTTAATAGACAATATACCACATATACCTTGTAAAATCCCTCTTTCTTAACTTATCCTGTCATGTTGAGTTTCTCCGAGCGACTGATCTACATGTGTTTATCATTGCCACCCACCAAGCGTGACACACATGCAGTGCAGGAATATCAAAGTGACCACCTACCTAAGTCAGTGCAGGTCTACCAAGCCTCCAACCCATGCACTCTGTGGATGTGTCTAAACATATACCGAGGCCCCTGCACTGCTTGGGTATATATTTAGACTTATAGGTGATAACATTGGGCAGCAGGGAATTTGTCAGCTGATATATTTACTCACTGTACATTATGCCATGTGTGAGCTGGAGAATCTGTAAACAGCACTGCTTTATGGCAGTAATGGGTTTGTTATGGTTCGGTCATGTTTGCTGAATTAACCAGGAATCCCTAAATGGTTTTATGAGTTGATTTTCAGTGTTATGTTTCTTATATGTAAAAACCCAATTTTCCAAAATCCACAGAGAGCTGATTTACTGAAGCGTGAGCTCCTTGTGACTCACTGATTTGATCTAATCCTTATAAAGTCAAAGTAAAAACGAATAGAAGCTCCACCCTAACTCCAGACGGAGTCTTTCCTGCAGTATGACTCCATCATCGTGTCTCCCTGCAGGTGTGCCGAGAGCATGCTGTGCGTGGTGCCCGACATCTCCGCCTTCCGCGAGGGCTGGCGCTGGGTGCGGCAGCCCGTCCAGGTGCCCGTCACGTTGGTGAGGAACGACGGCATCATCTACTCCACCACACTGACCTTCACCTACACGCCGGAGCCGGGACCGAGGCCACACTGCAGCGCCGCCGGCGCCATCCTGCGGGCCAGCAACTCGGGCCTGCTCAGCAACAGCAGCCAGGAGGCCGGCTCCAGCGTCTACGGCTCCAACAGCACTTCCAACGCAGGAGTCACGTCTTCTTCCTCCACCGCCGCAGCCGTGGTCTCCTAACGCACACATGGGGGGGGGCACTCATACATGCCTTGAGAGCAAATATACCCTGAGGTATATGAAGACTATAGGAAATAAACAAAACTGACTCACTCTAAAAGTGCTGCGTTCATTTTGGATACAAAGAAGCTGCAAAGGAAAACAAAACAAAAGAATCGGTGGGACAGAGGAGCCCTACGCATGGGGAAATCTGAAGGAGTGACATCACAACGTTGTCAGCTGATGGGAATAAACATATATAAAGTGCTCCTTGACACGCCTCCCCACCCCAGCCCCCCCACTCTCTTCTCCTGTGGTTACTTTAGGGACCTGCCTGTGCAGTTCTGGTGTTGGGAATGAGTGAATTCCTGCAGGCTCAGAGCACCAGCACCTTTCTACAGCTGTGAGGACGGAAACCACAACAACAGTACATCCACCGTGTGCATCCCACCTCCCCTTTATCCTCCCCGCTCCGTTTTTATTTTTTTGTAATTATTCCTTTTTGTTTCTCACATTCACGTCTGAAACCCTTACCGGGGGTGAGGGCGGGGGTGGTTTGGATGTGTTGTTGTTGGAGGGAGTGCAAGGATGCAGAGGGACACACATAAAACGTGACGATAACATAGTTTTTATGGACCAAGGATCTTGTATAAGCTTTAGTAAAGGTACATTTTTCTCCATACCTTTTTTGTATTAAACATATAGTACACTTTTGTTACCAAATAGTTTCTATTCTTCCTCTGAGCTTGGGCTTTGTTTTTATTTTTTTTTATTTTTTCTCCCCTTCGAGGTCCAAAATCCCAACCTGTATGTTATTGTGACCTTACTTCAAATGCCTTTTTTTGGGTTTCATTTTGATATACTTGCTTCTTCTTTTTGGGGAAAAGTCTGAAGTCTTGGGTTGTTTTTTTTTTTTGTTTGTTTTTTAGATTTTACATAAGCAAAGATCTTTTTGTTTGTTTGTTTTGTTCTGTTTTTTTGCTTTTGAAAGGGGACAAACCTCAGAGGGCCTATTTTTATCATTGGTTTTTAATGAAGTCTTTAAGAAGAAAAAAAAAAAAAAAGAAAAGCTTTAAGCAACGCCTCTGCCTTGCCTGCAATACTCTGTGTGCGCTGTGTCTCCTGGAAAGTATACACATCAGTACATGTCACACGGAGCCATAGCAACATCTGCAGAACACGAAAGCGGTCTTCTGCGAGAGCAAATCCGTCTGCCGCTTTCAAACTAATGTACCGAGCGTAGTCTTCGACTTCAAAGGATAGCCTTAGTACTGTATATTCTTACTGTGTACACAGGTAAGCCAGTCACATATCTGATAATATCCTTTATCTGTCACTGCTAACGTATCCAATAATGTAGTGTCTCGAAACTTGCACCTAGCAAAGGTGTCTTCCAGTCCGTGCTGTAGTTCTGGTGGCATTTATCTCCAAAAAAAGAAAAAGGAAAAAACAAAAAACAACAGAGGGGGAAAAAAGACACTTTTCAATTTGATGTGGCCTTACTGAAAACTTCAAATAGAAGAAGAAAAACACTTCAGTTTTCTTATATGCTGTTTACTCACCTTGGGAGAACCTGTGCATAGCACAAAAGCAAGCCGACGCCTCGCTTCTCTGCTGTTTGGAGCTCATCGCCGCGGCTCTCCAACCACCTTCCCCGTGCAGAGCAGCCTTCTGAAGGGAGCCTTCATTCCCAGTGTACAAGTACAATAACCCACTTTTTTTTTTTTAAGCTCTCACACTGGTGCCCGGCACCTTCTCACTTTTTGGTACAACGTCTCACGAGCGCTGTAAGCTCTTTTTCAGCCTTCTTCTTCTTTGGTTTTTCTCAATGTTATTTTTCTTTAAAGAAAAAAAGTCCTGTGGTTTAATGTGTTGGCAGAGCAAGCGTGTGTACATTGTGAACTCACTGTCCGAGTAGTTGCACTCATTCATGTTCGATGGCGAGACCTGTAGGAGTTATAAAGGCCTTCTAAATGTGTATTACTGAAAATGTGCATTTCCAAAACATAACAGCAATATTGTACAGGTCATCTCATCAGTTTTTGTTTTCGTTTCGGGTTTTGTCCGCCTGAGCACTAGTTCACCAGCCAGAAAATATATATGTGTATGTGTGCGTGTGTCTTTCATATACAGTCGCTGTAATCGGTGTATTGAGTCAGACTCACTCCGCGTCCTCTCCGAGAAAAAGGAAAAAAGCAACTTTTATTGGTGTTTTTTTTTTTTTTTTTTTTTTTAAATGTCTTCCACCGGGATCTAAACGTCTGATAAATGTGGATAAAACATTCAAAGGCAATACTTGTGATCGCAGTATTACAGTACAACTGTATACAAAGAACAATACTGTGACTTGAATGTGTGCTTAATGAAGTATTTCAGTTTTTCTTATTCGCGCCCTCGAAACAGGAACACACAGACTCATTGCCCCCGCCCCCCCCATGCTTCCATGTAAAAAAAATAAAATAAAAAAATAAAAATATTAATAAGAGAAAAGTTTAAATTATGCCCCTCCCCCTTCTTCCCCCATTTTGCCGTTCTTGCCCACCTGTGTGTCGTTAATGTTAAATGTTTTATATTGTAATATTGATATTTTTTAAATTATTGGTACAAAGTTTCCCCTTGTCTTATGTCCACACACAAAAAAAGAATTAAAAACGGAAAAAAAAAAATAGAAAAGTGCATTATTGGCCGTGCTGCCTGAGTCTGGCCGCTTCCTGTTTGTCCTGGAAACGTGGAGGAAGTCGTAGAAGGTGCTGCAGCCGCCGCGTAGCATCAAAAACCCAACATTTGGCGCTTCTTCTTCTGCAGCGTGTCGAGCTGCAGGTCGAGCCCTCCCCGCCCCAAAGCCCTTTATTCTGCAGGATGCAGGTCACGAAATCTGAACTGTAGATTTTTAACTTCTATTCTTTGTCTTCGAGCTCTAAATTCAGCGTCTGCATCGCATCGCCTCCGTCGCTTTAGGCTGACCGCCCGTCCTCCTCTTTCCTCCCCTTTGGCTACAGAGCAGCATCGCCACTTTTGTTGTAAACTAACACACACAAATAAGGGGGTGATGCACACTTTTCTCTGAAAATGTGTCGCCTTGACAATCCGAGCTGGTTTACAGTTTTATTGTTATTTTTTTTTCTCTCTTAAAACATCTGGAGTTTTAAGGGACAAAGGGAGGATACAGCGTAACCAGATAAAAGGGTGATTTTAAAAAAAAGAAAAATGTTACATGCCTTCTTTAAAGAAAAAAGAAAACTTTCGATGAAGCTTTTTCACGAGGAAAAAAAGCAACAAACCACCATGTCATTGTTTGTTTTACAGATCTTTTTCACTTTGTGTGTATGTGTCTGGTCTTTTTTTTTTTTTTTTTTAACACCTCCAAAAGCAGCTGTTTTGGGGTTGTTGGTTTTTTTTTTTAAATAATGAGCTCTGAACAATGTATGTATCCTCTAATATGCCAAATGTCTTTTATAATGTAGTTTTCATGCACTGCTAAACAAAAACAGGGCAGAGTGAGAGGCAGCTTTAAACAGACTTTTGTTTTTGTGTTTAAAAAAAAAAGTAAAAAAAAAAAAAGGAGTGTGGAGCCCTTTCTCTGTCGCACTCAGCCTTACTTCTCCTCAAGACTTATTCGGCTGTTTGCACTACAGAGCGCTAACTTTTCTATTTCTCTCACACGTTTCATCCTCACTCACATTTTCCTCGCCTTTATTTTCGTCTTTTCCCGCCTTTTAACACGCAGCCTGTTGCGCTTAGCTTGCAGATCACCTTTTATTTATCATTTCCTCCTCCTCTTCTTCCTCACACCCCTCCACTATCTTCCACTTCTCTCACTGTATCTGTGTATTATTCTAGTAAAAATGGTAAGCAGAGGTGTCATTGTGGTAGTATACTCAGTGCTCAAAGGGTTGCTGATGGTAGAAACCTGTGCCGTTTGTAACATTTAGCAATAACGTCAAAAACAAAGGGGACGGTTCTTTTTTTGTTTTGTTTTTTATAACATAACGTTAGGTTGTTTTTTGTACATATTGCAGCTCCAGATCATTGCTCAAATCTGTATGTCATTAAAAGAAGAAAAAAAAATGAGAAAAAAACTTGCAATATTGGCATAAAAATGAGAAATAAAAAAAGTGATGTAAAATCTTACTTTGTGTGTGTTTTTTATGATGATTCTTTGATTATTTTTAGTTTGAATCATGATTGTAGCTGAAGAGAAGAAATAACCCATTATTGACATTTATTTATTTATTTGGTGTGTAAACAACAGCGTCCAATGACGCTTCAACATCTGGTGGCTGCAAGGTGACTGCAGGTGGGGAGGTTTGAGCATTTACCAAGCCCAAATGGAGCTCTTATCTGACGAACTCCCAGTGGATCGTCTTTCCTTTAAGTCCTCTGTCTTTAAAGCTGTTAAAAGCTCTGAGTCGCTCCGCTGAAGTGTGCGCACGCACTGACTTTGTATGGTCGATGGATCGCAGATTTGCAGGAGATCACAACATCTTCCACCAAAGCCAAACTCAGGTGTATATTACAAGGCAATAAAAATCACTGGACTCACTTTTGTACATTCAGGTCTGAACCCATTACCTCGATATTGAACAAAACACACAGCCACTGCACTTTAAAGTAAGACTTTACAGTGGAACATTAGGGCTATATTTACAGTGAATAAGCTGCTACATCAGTGCTGCTATATTTAACATTTAACTGGAAATTGGATGGATAATACCAGGAATTGGCCCTTTGAAGAGGAGTTGCAGGTGTTTTGAGTCCCCTGCGTGCCCACGAGGTGGGTCAAGGACAGCAGCAGAGCCGTTTGTGCAGCGAGCGATTGAGTTATGGCTGATCTGCAGCGTGGGGATCAGACAACACACAAAATGTTGTTTTCAAGCACAAGTTTACACAGCTAGGTGCTTAAAATTCCTAAATATCGATATTATAGCTCATTTCGAGCCTGTTTACACTTGCTTTGAAATGCATCTTGGGCAATCGGGTCAGAAGCGGACAGCGTTATATAGACACGTAAACAACCACAGGGATGTGATCACTCAGACCCGTTGCCTTGGTGGTCCGGGACACATTAGGCAACGTGCTTTTTGTGGTGTAATAGTTAATGTTTCCTGGTCTGTGCCCAGCGAGGACGTCATTGATGCAGGATGTGGTAGTAGCAACTGACCTTGTCCTGGCTGATATCAATTGCCGGAAAACCCCATACAAGCATATTGTTTATTGAAAAACATTTCAATTTCATCCAGACTGGCGCTTGTCTAGTGCTTTGACCTTCTTGAGCAAGGGTGGGCAATTCATTTTCCCAAGGGGCTACATAACAAACTGGGACTGTTGTGGGGGGCCCAGTTTGTTATGTGGCCCCTTGGGAAAATGAATTGTCCACCCCTGCTCTAGTGGGACTTGTGGAGCTAGTAAGAAAATGAACTGAAGTGGTTAGCTTAACACTTTGAAGATGCATAATAGGTGTTAACAGCAACGTGTCTCCGCTATCCACTTGTTTGATTCATTGAAATGCATCTTATAACCAAATGCAAATAGGGGGTTTGTTTTTTCTCAATGTCTTCTAGAGGTGCTTGTCACAAGCATCGAGCTAAACATCAAGCTAAATGAGCTAAGCATCTTTGCGTTAGCTCATTTAGCGCTTAGAAACTTTAAACTGCCAACACTTAAACATTAAAGGTTACTCAGTGTCTTTGGCTCAGATTCTGCCTAATAAAGCCGACACGGTAATCACCAGCTCAAAGTAAATTTAATTTTATTGATTGATTAGGTATTCTTGGCTTTGTAAAACTGATTAGATAAGTGTGAAATTCAATCTGTGGTGTAATAGCTAAAGTCTCACTAATAGAGGGAATTTTGGTAGCAAATTAGGAACAAGTAAAACATTATAAAATTTTCACATCATTTGAATATGAATACTTGTAAATTCTAGTGGGAAGGTACAATTTGTGCAGCTGTAACAGTACAGTTGGACTTTAGTGACAATAAGCTTTAAAGGTTACATAAATAAAATACATTCCTTCAGCAGAGAATCTGTCACACTAATGGACTGTAAAAAACAAAACAAAACATGACGCTCCCAGCCAGTTTTAAATTAAAGCTCTGAACAAAACCTGTCCCAGACAAGGTTATAAGTTGTCGTGGAAATATAGTCAGACTAAAAAAAAAAACAAAAAACATCTTGCTAACTTGTTATACAACCCTCTAATCTTCAAACTATACTTGTAGCTCGAACTTTTTTGTTTATGTATATATAAAATCTGAAGTTGCATGTTAAATTTTTTATGTCATTTCCCATAACAGGCTAGCTATGCAGAAATCATCGCACAAGAGTTTGCATTGAAATAGCTTAACACAAATAGCATAATTGGAAAACAAATATTACATTTGTATTTGTACATGTGAATTACATATAAAAGCAGCAAAATATTAGTGACCTTTAGAGCCAATAATAGTAGGATTCTTCACGAGTATTTATAGAGTATCTTTTATCTGCCATTAATAGCATTTTCCCGCCTTTTCCTTCCATTAAAAGTTTTATTCCACTTTCCCGCCCTAAATAGCATTTTTAATGCTCTTCCCACCATTAAGAGCATTATTTCAGCCATTAATAGCTCTGTTTTACATTTCCCACCAATAGTGTTTTCTAGGTTTTCCCGCCATTAATAACTTTATTTCACTTTTCTTGCCATTAATAACATTGCTAATTGCTAAGCTAGCCACTTGATATCCAGGTTAAATGTTTTCTTTAAGTCAGCCTTTACTTATGTTTAAAAACTTGCTGTTGCGCAACGATTTTAACGATATTAATAATACAAAGAATAACACATATTAAAAGCTTTAGAAAGCACATTTGGATACATTACAAAATAACTGGAAATAAGTGGTTGTCATTTATAAATAAAAGCTAAAGCACATTTGTTTAGTTTCTCATTTGTCATTTTATAAAAGATAGTTGGGTTTTTATTTATTTATTTATGCTTAAAGGTCATGTTGGCTTAAAAGGTCATTTTTCACCATTGTAATTTATTGGGATTAACGTCATCAAATCTTTAGATCAGCTATTAAAAAAATAAAAGTAAAACTTTATTGAACTATCAGTGTATCAATAAACCCATTTAAAATGATAAAAATTGACCTCTCTTTGGCACTGCGTGTTATTTGAAAAGCTGCCCACGTAATGCACGTGGATCAAATGAAGCATGTGTAAATACTGTTTGGTTACTGTACAGTTCAGAAGCAGTATCTAGCGTGTATAAAACAAAAGCAAGTAAAATGAGAACTGATTCTCTGCTTCATCAGAACTTTGCACTTTTCCGACAAGCTTGTGGGCCCTAAAAGCAAGTATGAACAGGCATCACTTGGCCACTCTGCAAGCTTTATAGAAACATTTATGATAAAGTCACAGCTGATTGGCTGTGACTTTACGGACGGCACACCACATCTGCTCCACAGTCTCTGCCTACTTGTCACATTAAAATAGTGGCGCTAAAGCAACATGTTTGCTTAGTCTCGAAAGCACTGTGACAGCTTTTCGCAAAAACAACAAACCACAGCTCTCCATCATATGCTTGCACTTGGGCCGGTACACTTGGTGCACGGACAGATCAATCCAACTTAAGTCAGCTCACTCCAGGCTGATGCACGGATGCCTGTGTAAGTGAAGCGTGTGCTGCTTCCACTTGGTGACGTGTGACCATTCTGCTCAGGGCTCTTGGGCCCTTCTCGCGGTCTGCCCGCTTCCCCTTGGGTTAGTCTGCTTCCAGCTGACCTCGTCAAGCCGCTACTGCCTCCGCCACCCCTCCTGAAACAGCTGCAGCAGGAGAAGGTAGCCAGCATACCCTGGCGGAAGCGCTTGTTCATGAAACAGTAAATGATGGGATTGACGCAGGCCGAAGTGTAGGAGAGCAGGTGGATGAAGGAGATCGGCGCGCCAGTGAGACGGTAGGCTGAACGCTGGTCGAAAGCTTGCCACGCATTGACCACGAAGACGGGGGTCCAGCACAGGAAGAAAAGAAACACAATGACCAGCAGCATTCGGATAACACGTTTCTTAGCCATCAGGTTGGACGTGGAGCTGCCGCTGCCACACACGCGGCCCACCATGGAGCTACCGGTGTTCATCGTCAAACTCTTCTTTTTGGATGGCTGCAGGTAACAGCCATCACTGTCACCTGGCTTAATGCTGCTAGTGCTGGACTGTCTGTCTGCAAGGGAAGAAAATAATAAACTGATTTATCACTAGCATAAAAAAGAAAAGTTCAAAGCCAACAATTCCATCAGTGAGCAAGTGAAGCAGTCGCCCTAAATAGCCCATGTTTTCAGAAACTTTAGCTCGAGTGCCCCAATGTTAAAGTAGAGAAGATAAAATCCATATTAATCGATCTTTGCTTTTAACTGTTAACATTCAAAATAACCACATTTTAAAAACTTTTGCTACTTTCTGTGCTCAGGTACCATACCTCTGCCAACTTTCCTGTTGGACATCTCAAACTTGATGCCCCGGTAGAGCTCTATTGAGATGAGTCCATAGGCTGTCATCATGACGATCCCAGGGATAAGGAAAAGCAGCAACAATAGGGACACATACCTGGAAAGAAAGATATTTTGGGTGGGGTGAGAGAATCCATGAGCTTCACACATACCTCAAATGTGTGGTTTCTCCTACTGTTTGTACTTAGTGAATACCAGAACCCCCTCATCAGTCAGTTCTACACTATTTTATACATTTAATTGCTTAATTGTTGAGCATTTAAATTTTAAATCTTCCTGTGCAGCATTTGTCTTGACTGATTAACAACATTAGCAGCTACTGAAAAATGAAAACTTTTACTTTGAAGAGTCAAATCTGTGTCTCTCATAAACATCTTCCCAAAAAGGTTGTCTCTCGCCAGCAGCACCAAGCTGAGAAAATCAATAAAGTGCCCATCTGAAATTAGCAAAGGGCTATTTTTTGCTACCTCTCAGGCCGAGTACATCCAAGCGTGAAGATGCCTCAGAAGGACAGTTTAGCAGTGCACTTTTTTTTTGGGGGGGGGTTCAGCTCACCAGGACTGCTGGATGATGTCGTTGGGCCACACCAGGCGGCACATGTGCCCGGTGCTGTTGTTGAGGCGGGTGAAGGGCTTGAGGGTGCTAAAAATGGGGTAGGGCAGCATCAGTATAAAAGACCCCAACCAGGTGGCAGTGATGACCTTGGCAGCGTGGGATTTTGTCTGCCACACCCTGGAGGTGAGGGGGTTGCAAATGGCACTGTAGCGCTCCAGGGAGATGGCCACCAGGTTAAAGGTGGAGACGCTCACAGAGACACCTGCAGAGGTCAGAAAATCCACACTGCTGAGTTCTGATTGGCTGAAACTTCCTTCATTACATCATCATTACAGACTAATGTAGAACACTGCATTTTTTTTATTTTTTTTTTCTAATGTGTTACATTTGTTTTAAAACAGGAATATCAGACAAACCAGCAGCAGCTGCGTGACGCTGTCATATCAGCAGCTTGATTCATCTGTGCCGTGAAGAATTAAAGCAACTCTCATGTCTGAGCACAAAATATTGAAAGTGTGTGTTTGTGTGTTTTACAGAATAGTCATTGGAAATTGTTTGGCTTTACCACCATATATAAAACCACAACAAGTGCATTCACTCTTTACAACGAAATTACAACCAAAAGACCATTAACCTAGCTTAGCATAAAAAATGAAACTTTATTAAAAAAAGGACAGCTTTACCCCACGCTCATCTATATCTATTAAATCTGCAAATTTAGAAAATTGTATATTAAAAAAATGGCTTCAAAATGACTCGTATGATAATTTACACTTTGGTCTTATTATGTTTACATCTCTCTTCTCTTTGCTTGTCTCCTCTGCCTTGTGTCTGCTTTGCCAGGACACACAGAGGTGAGCAGAGAAAGACCAGATAGTGAAACAGAGAGCAGAGGAGTGTGGCTCCCAAGCGTCTTAAACCTGCTCTCTTTTTAGCCAGCAGGGGGCGACTCCTCTGGTTGAACCCAGTTTTGTCAAAATGAAACAAATACGTGTAAAGTAAGAACTGAAATTTAGGCATCTGTAATCCTTTGACTACCAATTCTCACTTCGTCCACAGACCTGCTTTGCATTTTTTTTTAGAAAGATGCCACCTCAACACTAATCGTCTATTAATAAGTGTTAATCGTCATCTTTCTCTCCTCCCCCCGTGTGCTGCATCTCCCACAAAAACATCCTCACAACATGTCACTGATTTACAGTAATGTCGCTGCACACGTTAATGCTCCACCACATTAAATTTAACTGCTGAGCTGCGACAGAGCACATCCTGCGCTGCCTGTCAGCGCAGCAGCATTGGGCCGCTCAGAAACAACAACAGGATGCACAAACACACTTGAAATAGCTGCTTTGTGCAATCCGAGAGGACACACAAACAGACAGATGATGCAACAATCCTGGGAGAGCTTTGTGATTTTGAGGAAAGAGCTATATGAAAAATTAAACTCACATTTCCTTGTGGACGTGTAATTTAATGAAAATGAAATATTAGCAGTAGATACAACATCGGTAATGAATGCACCTTATTACAGAGCTCGCAGCCAGAAAATGTGATTCACATGTCTGATGGGACTGACTCATCTCCTTTGAAGCTGTCCGGAAGTTTTCAAATGCCCGAATAAAGATAAATGAAACTCTGAAAGGAAGTGACACAGAAGGACAAACTGAGGCAGCGAGTCTTAAAAAGCAAAAAACTCCAAAGAAAAAAAATTATTTATGTTGCTTTTTGTTGAAAGTACTTGAAAATATTTTGATTGTGACTTTTGAAAAATGTTTAAATCTTCCATAGATTGTGGCATCTGCTGCTAACTGCATGGAAATGATAAAACTTTTTGACTGTACAACACACAAACAAGAAACAGGAAGCCCCCAAACACTCACTGATGCCATTTGGCACCACAAACCACAGATCTACCTGTGGGGCTTCGCACTCTGTGCAACGCGCAGCCCTATCTATCTTTAGACCCTTGTTTCCGGTTTGGAAATCCATCCTCCATAACAGAGACCTCAAGTCTCCATAACAGAGACCTGACGTCTGGTGATGGTGATGAGCTAAATTACTGGAAGCAGATGCATCATGGTCTTCAGCTGTGCAGCCTCAGTGGTATAAATTGAGGCTGTGCAGTCCAGAGGGGCTGGATGAATGTTACATTTGATGTCACTGATCCTTTCAAACTCGTGTTGGCTGGTTTGATGTGTTTGATTAGAAATGATTTATTTATTTTTCTCCCCCCTCATTGAAAAAAAAAAAGCCATGTGATTATGCAAAGTTGCAATTGTTTTTTGCACCTCATCATGATTGGTTTAAGAACTCGCAATAGATGTGTTTGGAACGATCCAAATATCGATAGCATCGATACCACCGCTATCGGATCAATACTTTGCATCTTTACTCTAAATTCAGTATGTAGCCCATGAGCTGTGTTGAATAAAATTACACCTCAAACATACACTGTGGAAAATGTCTGAACCTTTTTGTGTTGACTATCATGTGTATTTTATTTATAGCCTATAGCACATTTAAACAATAGAAGCTGTTGGGTAGATTTAAATTTCAGGTCTCAAAAAAAAATCCAGTTTCAAAATCCATGAAAAGCTGAAATGAGTGTTTTGTTGTG